ATAAAAAATAAAAATATTTTTATTTTTATTTTTATATAAAAAATAAAAACGTTTTGAAATCAATTCCAAATACCAATTAGTTCCCATTGTCATTTTCTATCACACAGTGCTTCCTGAAGTACATAGCATTTTGTTCTTATGCATGACGAAATCTCGCACGTCACGTCACATTAACCTCTTTCTTTGATAAAAATACAAATATGCCCTCCGAACTCACACCTCTTTTTGCCCTTTCCTTCTACAACTACGTAAAAAACCCCTCTCCTTCCATATAACCGATCCGCTGCCTCCAGATCTGCCAGCACCGGCGCCGCTGCAAGCCCAGCCCCAACGCCGCCTCCAAATTGGCACCACCTCTCACGAGCTCGCCGCCCACTAGCGAACGACCGATCCGCCGCAAACTCGAGCCAGTACCACCGGCCAAGGCTGCCCATCCACGGGTCACGGTCGCGTTGTTCTCGGCGCTCGTTCACCTCACAATTGCAGTCGCCGCTCTCGAAGTCTAACATTTATGAGTTTTTTCGGTTGTTCAAATGGTTTCGTATTTTGATTTCTGATGCCCATATTTAGCATTGTGTTCTTTGGTTGATCAACTATTTTGTTTATGTGTTTTGGGAACTTGGAACTGGTCGATAAATTGATTGTTTTTTCCTCTTATTTTGATGAAATGTGATTTGGGTCTTATAAAAGAGAACCCAGAGAGATAGGGAGTTAGAGAGAGAAAAAGGCTTGCTCTGAATTCTGATGGTAATGAAGAGGGAGATTTTTTTTTTCTTCGTATTTCCTTTGCTATGTGTAATCAAACAACAGAGAAAATCATAGAGTTTTTTTTCCTCAGGAAAATATTGTAGTTCTGATGTACCCATTTTTGAAACTAAAAGCCTACAAAAAAGTATATCTGAAGAACAGAGATAGTTGATGCCACTAAATATAAATGAGTTTCTTCTTCATTTTTCATTTTTTTTTTTTTTTTTTGCTAATGAAAATATAAATGAGTTTGTTTGATTGTTCTGGCTTTGGGTTTTTTTTCTATGTTTTTTTTTTATTTTTATTTTTATTTTTTATTTTTTTATTGATCTGATAACCAAAGACCATGACTCCATGGAATGCGATCGTCACGGCGGCGACGAGTGTGCAGGTCTCTCTCTCTCTTGGTTAATTATTATAAACTATTATTATTTTACAAAATTACCCTTTGATATTAGATCAAATGCTTTGCGCATAATACATTCGTCAAAAACCTAACAAATTTTAACAGAAAGGATTAAATTGCCAACAATTTGAGAGTTTGAGGGTGGTTTTGCCAAAATTAAAAGAATAAGGATTAAACTATCGCCTACTTAATAGTTTAGAGACTATTTGTGCCGATTATTCTTGATAGATATGCATTTTTTAGAGAACGTTTGGTTAATAGATTTAGAATTATAATTCAGAATTATTATCGATTTACGTGTATTTTTTATGAGAGAAAATATTATAGCGAATTACGAACTATGATTCGAACCATGACATGAATCCTTGAACCAAACGCACTCTTAATTTTGTGCTGCAGGCTTAGGTGGCGTTTGGTTCATGGATTCAAACCATGTGATTAGAACCATTTTTTATTTACGTGTATTTTTTGTGAGAGAAAATACTGTAACGAACTATGATTCGAATCAGGCAACGAATCTAGATATCAAACGAACTCTAAGTGATTTTCATTTTTCAGAAGCCAAAATCGCCTTTTTGTGGCTGGAATTGGATGTTTTGACAACTTTGCAAAATGGACCATAATGTTCAAATGAATTTGCCATCCCTTAGCCTAAGCACCTAAGCTCGTCTCAAGAGGAATTATTACGTCATATTGCTTATGTAGTACACTCATCTAATAAGATTATACCATTTAAATATTTTGTCTATGTCAACTTTTCACTTTTATTTTTCTCTTTCTTGATAGGTATTTATATTGATTATTGAGTCAAAAACACTTACTATTATATCCAATTTCTTTATTTTAATAACTTAACTTTAAAATTAAGCACAACAAAAAAACAAAAGTAAAAAGTTGACATAGACAAAATTTTTAAGTAATATAATCTCATTAGACGGGTGCACCACATAAATAATATGACGTGATACACCTAGTGTACTGAATAATTTCTCTTGTCCGAATGCAATGCCAATCTTCCTTTTCTTCAGAGGTGTGTTTTTTTCCCTTTTTTTTTTTTTTAATAACATACATAAAAGTATTAGGTAATGGAAGAAAGAAATCATAACTATGACAGTGAATCATGTACAAACTAATTAGGCATCCTAATCCAGGGCATTGGGACCAAAACACCTCTTTTTTACAGGGTTCCATACCCATTGTATTAGAAACTTCCTTCCTCTCACTCCGTTCACGTTATACCCGATTCCCCATTTGCCCCTATACACTTTACCCACAAACCCACCACCTCCTCCAGTCCCATAAACACCAACACACAAGTCTGCTATCTCAGTAGGCGCAGTTGGGTCCTCCCCAGCATACCATGCGTTGACAAGTGGGTTACTTGACACTTCCGCAAGCTCATGAGCTATCACACTGATCATCCCATCAACGCCCGCATCCCCGTTCGGAGCCCGCATCGCGCTGCCGCCACCAACACCGCCGCTACCCGGCGGCGGCATCTTTGAGTAGTCGGGCCACGCAAAGGGGTAAGCGCACATGCCGGGACACTGCGAGCCACTGTAACCCACCCACGCGTAGGGCACAGTGACGCCAACGATTGTAGGGAATGTGAAGTAGTGAAACCCGCAGACTGCCCTGCAGAAGTCTTGGACTTGGACGTCTGACGAAGTTAGGACTAAGTAGAGGCCATTGTGAGGGTTGAGAGGTAGAGATCTATGATCATGTGAACTACTTACAGCTGTTTTGATTATTGATTGGATAGCCAAACGAGTGAGGTAAGCTCCATGCGAGTACCACGAGTCCTGGAACTCGCCTGCGAGGACAATGTTTCCGGTTATGTTGGACCCGGTTTGGTCGGTGTAGAGCCGGACGGTTCGCCACCAGTCACCCACAGAAGGGTAAGAAGAAGAAGAAGAGAGGGAATTGAGGAAGTCTCTTATGGTGCATTGATGAGTTGGGTTCCAGTGGCCATACCAGATTATGTAGAGGTTTATTGAAGAAGCAAGGACAGGACCCATGTGGTACCGGAGGTCCACTAGGTCAGAAGAGCCCTCATAATTTTTAGCTTGGCCGAATTGTCTGTTTGGATGCCGGGAAAAAGAAGCCAGAGAAGAAAAAGAAAAGCAGGAGAGTAAGAGGAATATCAGGCATTGATGAAGCAGCTTTTGCATCTTGTTTTTTTTTTCTTTCTCTGTATGGTGTCTTGGCGTATTGCAGTACTTAATGGAGGTGTTTTTATAGAAAGAGACTGAGGAGAAATTAGGGGAGGAGAGTTGGTTGTGTGTGATAATCTGGTTTTGTTTATTGTTGATATGTACTTTTTGATGGGCAGGGTCTGCATGTTTTTACATTATTCCAAAGTCCAAATGCATCATTGTCTATTCGCCAATTAAAAAAAAAAAAAAACATCATTGTCTATATTTTAGTAATAACTAGGGACCTTCTCCGACATCAATATACGTTTTTCTGTTCATCAGATCTGCACAAATTATATAAAAGTTAAAAAGTATGCATATTTAACGGTTAAAAATTATCGGTATACTAAACATACAAGAGAATTTCCCTAATAACATTATTCTCTTTCTTTTCTCAATTTTTTTTTCAGAGTTTATCTGATAGGATCAAAAAAATAAACTATTGATAGTTTTTTATTTTTCAACTGTGAGATTTGTATTAAAAATTCTTTATTCTGTACATTTTTTTTTTTTTTACTTTGATATGATTTTGATTATTTAATGGTCAGAAACTAACACTACCGGTAAAAAAATCTATTTGGAGAAAATCTTTTTTTTTTTTTTTTAAATTTTTCGAACTTATCTTTTCCTATCACTAATAAATTGCTTTGCTAATAACATATTCGGCAACCGACCTCTAATGATACCTTTGGACAAGTAGAGAAACTTATAGTAAAACCTATGACAGCCTAGCTAGCTGTCAGTTTAGCATTATAATGTTCACATATCACAACCCGGATAAATAAATAAATAAATATACATACATATACATATAAATAAATATACATACATATACATATATATGTATGCGCGAAGAGCGGGCTTAACTTAAAAATTAACTTACAGGCAACAATAGATATTTTTGTCACTGATTCTGTACATATAGTTCATGTGACCTGCCTATATGAGAAAAACAACAATGCTTGCTGATCAACCTCCTAGTGAAGTTCCTAACATGGAGCTACTAAAAGTGATCGACCATCAGATTATTCGGTGATCAAACCAAATTAAGCTTTTGATTCAAAATCAAGTATTTATCCCTCAAAATACCAGTACTTATTAGAGGAACTAACTTCCTTATCTGCTTATGTACCTTTTCATGTCACTCTAATAATATTACGATACACCAATTAAAATGTCATGTCAATTAAAAGATTCGTATCACGTCAATTAAAAAGTCATGGCGTGATATATTATTATTAGGAAGACACGGAAGGAGACAAGAAAAAGGGACATTTGAACTCATTCGGTAGAGATGCACCATGCTATAATTAGTTATAAAAATAATAAAAAAAAATGTCCCACTCTCATTTGATTCAAGCTTTTCAAATGGTTTTGTCAATATTAATGTTTAAAGTCAATCGTATTTTACATAGTAGTTGTCAAAATTGTCAAATCTAACAAATTTAAATGAGATTGTACATGAGTTGGGACAAAGAAACTAGCTTATTAACACTCTTATAGTTAGGGAAAATAATATTAAAAAAAAAACTCTTATAGTTTGTCTCATAATTTATCCATTTAGTTGATGCTCAACTAGAACATGTTGCCATTGATTAGCATATAAAGAAGAAAAAAGAATGATGAGAGTCAAAATTCATATTTCAAAAAGAATGATGGCTGTACCCTATGGTAAAAAGAAGCGTGTGACGCCTTTTCATAAGCTTTTGCCTTTGGAGATTTTACTCCTTTTCTCCTTAACAATTGGTTGACTAATTTATTTATGTAAGAAAGTGTTGGGAATTTGTTTTAGATTATCTTTGTACTTGTACATATTCCATATAAGCAATTTTTTTTTTTTCAAAAGTAACAAGTTGATTAAGAAAAAACCAAGAGAATAATTAGCATTTTATAATCTGTAGCATTATTATTTATGAACTGTCTAAATTGTATTAGCGCCAAGATTTGTCGAATTGGGGACATTTCACAATTAATATTATTGATATTGTTTGACCTAGAAAGTTGATGAAAAAAGTTTGTTTGTAGTACTACTTTAAAACTAATAATTAATATGTTCTAAAAGACTTAAATCTTGACAGACTTATTAAGTCCAAAAACCATGATGCAGAAGAGACATCCCCACTGATTACGCATTATGTTTATAAAGAAGAGGAATTTTTTTGTTTTTTTTAACATATCTAGAACACTAGAATACTTTAGACGTCAATGCTTAATTTTTCTTTCACCAGATTTTAATATATGCTTTTAGTGTTCTGAAAACACGCTATTGATTTTACTCTTTTTTTTTTTTTTTTTTTTTTTTTTAACAAAGTTGTCCCAGGCTTTTTTTTTTTTTTTTTTTTTTTTTTTTTTTAACCAAGATGTCCCAGGACTTTATTTTACTAACTAAAATGAGCACTAAAAAAAGAAGAACCTTGATTGATTGCACAAGACTCGTGTTAATGATGTAAAAGGTAAGAGGTGCATGTGAAGGCTAAAGCATCTTCAACTACCTGTCCCTTAAATGTAGGGATAGATTTGAGTCTTGTTTCCCAACAAAGAAAAAAGTTTAAATGACCAATTAGACAGTCATATTTAGTGTCAAAAGCCAATTTGGTGGAGCAATATTTGGCCGCCTTTAGTAGTAAAGCAGAGCATAACCAGTGACATCTAATTTTCTTTTTATTATTATTATTATTATTATTATTAGAGAAAATACGTTATAAAGCATATTTATAGCGGTATATAAAGTAAATAACATATTTTTTTTATAATAAATTATAGTGCGTTCTCATGAAATGTATTTAGATTTCGTTTATTTTATTGATTTGAGTTTTGCTACAGTAAAAAGCTTTCAGAAATAATAATATCTAATTTTTTTGCTACAGTAAAAAGCTCTCACATAAAATCATATATCAACTCAAATTAAAAACTCGAATCAGCGAACTAAACGAGCACTTAATGTTAAACAATGCCGGCAACCACTAATGGTCGGGTAAATTTATACTTTTGCGAGCCAGGAAAGATTGATTAAGTTTCAATCAATCCCATTATCCATAATAAATATTTCTGGTTAGGCAGTCCAAATCATCTGTTTGTAAACCAACCGATTACCCATGTGTTGGCTAAATCCTAAACACGGATAATTAACTCGACATAGCGAGTTTCTCATTCAAAGGGAACAACTACTTGAGAGATTCACGTTTGGCTGCAACCTTGGAAAGCTATTAGTTTGGTGATCGTGTTTAATTATTTTCAACATTTGTCTCCCTTGAGGTCTCGGTGGACCTTTTGTGTATGTGTCACGATTCAAACTGTTACTTACGTCAATTTTCGAGGGAATTAGGAGGGACAAATTTATGTCCATCCATTGATAGCCAGCAAAAGTATATGCATAAAATAAACATTTTTCTTCTTCTTTTGCTACTGAAAATAAGCGTACTTATGTAGGCTTTCTAAGCTAAGATTGTTTCAATTTGTGCTGAACAATAGTGATCTGTCAAAGAACAATAGTAATGTTTTTTGACTAACCATTTCACCTGGTAGTAGATCATTTGAGCAAGCAAAGAGTCCGGACAATCTATTGTAGATCATGCAGTTTAATAAAAAGTAAAGTCTTTATTTATTTCCATTTTGAATTAGACTAAACAAAGTGACATTGCACCTGTGATTTTTCCATTAAAGATTGCCGCATTTAAAGTGCCATTGCACCTGTGATTTTTCCATTGAAGATTGCCGCATTTAGTATTCAATTTTCGGAGGCCCTCTTCACATTATTTTGTTATGCGTTTATTGTATTGATGTTGATGTGAACTTAATAAAATTCAACTTTGTTGGAGCAAAATTTTGTTCGAACACTTAACCATCGTTTTTAGACTGACAACTCCGATTAGAAAGACTAATAATATAAGAAAATTGAATGAACACTCAAAGAACACAAATAACGTCGAAGAAATAATAAAGACAAAATATTAGAATCTCAAGGCTTTAGAGTGTGTTCTCTTTCCTCTCAAATTGAGGGAATTTATAGTACATTGAATAGATGAAGTTTAATTTTCCTCTTAATTCAAGAGTTTATTATCTCTGTGATGACAATGTAAAACTCTTCAACTCTTAGGTGTTACAACTGGTAAATAATCAATATGGATTAAACTATGGTCATTGAATGCTTTTAATTACTGACCGTTCTGCTATTTGATGTTGTTTTGTGACCCTTAAGCTTCCTCGTTTAAACCAAGCATTAATGCTCAAACACTAAGATGCTCAGATGCTCGAACGTTCAGACACTCAGATGTTTAAATTCTCATATACTCGGGTACTTTGATGCCCGAGTCGTTGGTGTTTGGATTTTGCACAAACCAAGTGACATAATGCCACGACATAAATACATTATTGCAAAAAACCCATCCAACAAACTTTAATTTTTCCAATCCCCTATAATGGTCCTACAAATTATTTTGTTATTGGCTCAAACAGTTATTTGAGAAGATGCGAACTAATGCCCCGTTTATTTTATCGATTCGAGTTTAAAATTTAAATTTTATTATAATAAAAAATTCTAAAAAATAGTCACATCTAACTTTTTTACGCTCACATCTCAATTAGTGTTTATATATGATTTGTTCCGTGAACAAACAAACAACAATTGATGAGGTGGGCTTATAGTATGAGAAATTGGAATACATGACAGGTGAGGTGGGCTTATAGTTTGAGGGCCGAGTCCAATGATACAAAAATAAACAATTGATGAGGTATCCAAATGGAATCATGCAGTTATTTTAGTTGCTGGCTTTAGAAATACAGCAGAAGAATCTCAAAACTCTCTCCGTTCATTTCGCTGATTTGAGTTTAAAATTATAGTTTTGTTACAGTAAAAAATTTTCAAAAACAATCACATCTAACTTTTTTACTACAGTAACAAGCTCTCACATAAAGTCACATCTTAACTCAAATTAAAAACTCAAATTAACGAACTGAATAACTACGTTGGGCTTTACTTTATTTCTCTTTAGATGTGTCTTTATCCTTGTTTGGTGATTTAGTAGTTAGGAAGATCTTCAGCATCTTTCGTACAAAATTTGATCCTAATTGTCTTATCAAATTAATTAGGTGATAAATGAATGGATCTACTCAAAAGTCTCCTTTATATTTTTACAGGAATGATTCACTGAACCTTTGAAAACTTCACGGTTCACATGTGCTACATGACAACAATTACTCGATCGAATGGACTTTATAATATATATCATACAGAAGTTGCAAATATTGATATAAAATAGAGAATCATTAACTCTTTTCACAGAGTTATGAGTTGCATATCTGTGAATCACACTCGTTATTTGTAAATCATGCCTCCAACATGCTAACATGGAATTTTAGTTTCATCAAAATTCTTGTCTTTAGTATGTTAAAAGACACAAATCATAGAGATAGAGTCATGAATTCACTTTAAGTTTAAGATCACTACATAAAAGATTATTAAAAGTGAATTCATTTTGGTTAAATGGAATTATTAATAAAGTCATAGGTATTTGTTGAGACTGCTTATTTTCTATCAAAATTTCGTGTGTTTGTTTGTTCTGTACATATTGTCTCTCAATTTAGCATGATAATGGTTAGATATGTCAATTGTGTCGGCCGGCCCCACCCGTTTAAATTTGGCCCAAACGTGCCTTGTGTCGTGTATGGGTCCGCCCATTTATTTATCATGCAGTGCTAGGCTTGACCCATTTAATTTGTGACGTCAAGCCCGGCCCATGACCCATTTATATGTGGGTCGTGCCCTCAACGTGCTTAAGTCGTGCTTGTGCTTTTATCGTGCTCTTAACATTCCTTTGTCGTGCCAAATAGCATATTTAAAATAAATAAAGTTTTTAATATAATGAAAACATTAGTCTTAACAAAAGAAAGCATATCATTAACTAAACAAATTACTTCATTAAAAAGTTTACCAAGCAAAACCCACTAGGATAAAATCTTGATAAAGAAAACTTCTTAATAAAACAAGTATTTTTATGACATGTAAAATATATTAATAAAATTAGTTTTATACTTCATCTTCCTTAATTGGGTCCTTATCGTGCTTTTAACGTCTCTGTGCTCGTTTCGTACTCTTAGCGTGTTGTGCCCTTAACGTGCTTTGTGCCTAAAAGTTGCGTCAATCCCAACCCATTTAATAAATGGGATGGGCAAAACCAATTTAATAATCGTGTCGTGTCGTGTTGTGCCCACTTTTTGATGTGCCGCGCTCATACCGGCTCTTCAGGCTTGACCCATTTTGACATCTCTAATAATGGTAAAGTTCACTTCAAAAAAAGGAAATATTTGTCCAAATAAAAATGGTTCTAGTCCGTCCCATTTTATTTTCAAAATTAGAGCATCTTCTATGCATTTCTAAATTGATGTGCTAATATCAAATTTTGGTATTTTAATAAAAAAATCACTCTCTAATCCAATGATATTTTCTATGCTAAATTTTGACAAATGTTATATTTTGTACCAAAGCAAATACCACAATTGGCATTTGGTTGCTATTAATTGATATATTAACTTTTTCAGTTAATCATATTTTAAAATTATTTTAATATTAATTGTTTACGGTTCAAAGCTTAATAATTCTCACAAAAAATATATACGGTATTTAAAATAGCATTAAATATGATGCAGAACCTAGTATAATACATCAACTATGTCATGTTCATACTTTTTTTTTGAACTTTATGTTCATACTTTCTAGTGACAAAAATAGTATTGATACAAGTATTTGTAGTATTTGTATTGGAGATAGTCTTATATAGATGATGACAAATAGTAGTAGTAGTATTATTGGTGCAAAACTATACAAAAGGACCATGAGATATGAATAATTTGGCAAAGTAGACCTACTTTTCTGTACAAAGATTAGCTACCAAGCTATGAATACACTTCAGATAGGGAGAAGAGTGCTCATATCCCTGTGCATGGTTCTAATTACAGTAGTTACCTGCTCAATTTGTTCTTCACTTGAACATGCTGAAAGTAGTACTTTGGCAGTTCCTCCATCTGGGTAGCAACCAGCATCAATCATCTCTTCAAAAATTTCTAAGCATCTTGTGTATAATTTCTTTCTAGAGTAGGCTCCAAGACGAGAAGTCCATGTTACAACATCCGGTCTTAAACTTTTCGTCGGAAGCACCCGAAAGAGCTCTTCCATTTTCTTGAAAAATCCAGCCCGACCGTAAACGTTAATCAAGATGTTATATGTACTAATATCAGCTGCATATGATCCTTTCTCCATTGCAGCAAGAACTGCCTCCATTTTTTCGAATTGGCCTAATCGGCCATATAGGTTCAACATACTGTTGATGACAAAAGTGTCTGGCTCTAGCCCGGACTTGTGCATCTGATTCACAATGTCTTCACATTTTGCTACGTTCCCGGTCCTTGAGTAGGCAGACAAAAGTAGCATATGGGATTTCATTGTTGGGGTGATCCCTATTTGCCTCATCTCTTCGAACACAGCTTGTGCATCTAAAGTATGAATGGAAAGAAGAGTTGAAAAAAACTACAAAAGTTAAAGCTAAGTGCATTACTTCGAAGACGATGGAAGTTTAAGTTTTTACCCTCATGAAGGCCAGCTCTTCCATATGCATCTACCATGATGTTATATGATGCCCTATCCGGTTCGCACCCCATGTGCTGCATGAGTGAAAAAATTTCTGCAGCCCCGTATGGAAAACCCGCACGACTGTCGGAAGAAAATCGCAAAAGAATGGTAAACAGAGAAATGAATGCGGATAGTTATCTAAAAACTACTACACATAAGCAATGCTAGACTGAGCATGAAGATATTGACCTGTAAGCTTCAATTAGAGCATTATAAGCATAAACATCAGGCTCATGCCCTGCTTCTTGCAGCTGCTCAAATATTTCTTCTGCTTTTTCACAAAGTCCTTCCCTGGCAAATGCATTCACCAACGCAGTGTATGTGCAGATGTTCGGTTCACACTTTTGACTTCTCATCTCATTGAACAACTTCAACGACATACATGATTTACTTTCCTGCGCAAACCTCAAGTTTTGAGAAGTACACGGTGATGAATAAAAAAGAACTGAAGAATTAAGGACAATACACAAGTAGATGTTTAATTAGAGAATGTTGTTACATGATTCCAGGGGAAAATGCATTGCAGAAGCTTTTGCTTATACATTGCATGTCTGCTAGATTCATAGTTTATAAATCTGTATGTTTTTCATTTGTCTTGAGTATCTCAAATCTTTTTTTTTTTTTTTGTGATATCTCAGGAGATCCAAGCCTCTTAGAGCACTTGGCAGCTCCTGAGGGAGATCTAGACCCTCCTATCCGGACCCCCTTGACAAACTATGGAAGGTGGCCCCAAGGGGATTCGAACCCAAATCAATTGAAATAAAGAAAGAAGTTAATTGGAAAAATGATAGATAATCAAATCACGGCTCACAAAATGAAGTGGTCATTACAGAATCTTGTCTGAAAGATCACTGGTAAATATCTATCTGTTAGGATTATGTTAGTAATTAGTTATCAATATAATAAGTGGTTAGTGGGTTGTTATAGAATTGGTTTATTATGTTCGTTAAGCTAGGTATTAGTAGTATATAAGCTACAAAAAGGGACTTGGGGGGGGTGGGATGTCAGATTATCTGGGATTTGGGGCAACGCTTGGGGAGCTGGTGGTATCTCGAATACCACTATTGTTAGAGTTTCTTGTACTGTTTTAGAGATTTATCAGTTTATGAATAAATATTCACTCCTCTTGTTCATCTATTTGTGTTAGAAGAGTGTTGGTTCTTATCAATATCACCTGCAAACAACTTTTGGAACATGTCCGAAATTTAGAGCCAAATAACCAATCAAAGGTCAACAAAATCGTATCTTTACAGGTTTTATAACGATTCACAACTAACAGCAACCTGACTACTATCATCATTGTATTTAACATGCATGCTTTCTATCTTGGCCCATGCAATCAAATTAGTCAAATTGTGTTAATTCATGCTTCTCGAATGGGCATACAGAAATGGCATTCAACCCCTCTTGAAAAACTCAACCTATACCAGTCCGGGTGTGGCTATGTTTAAGCAACTGAACCATGTTAATTTTTGTTTGCATTTAAATGAAACACAACCAATCTAGTACCAGAAAGATGTAGGAGAGAGGAGAGAGAGAGAGAAGATCAAGAAGAGTGAAAAACAAGGTTTGATACAGCAGCAAAAAAGCTAGGTTTGTTTGAGTGCCAAGAAATCCATTAATCGAATTAAAGCAAGGCCCACTTGTGTGACCAATCCTATCCTTTAAGTACCTAATGAAAACACGGCAAGCTATATTCAAACAAAGAGAAAACTACTACAATATGAGCCTAACTAATCCTTATTTCTATTGTTTGGGACCAATACAATTATGGCTTACACGATGATTCGAACCAGCAATCAGGGCATCCTAACATTAGCTTGCGTGACCAACATAATTGGTAATTGTTAACCATTCTTGAGAATTTTGAGACACCTTTTCTCTGAGTTCCAAGATTAAAAAATACAACGGAACTTTGAACCTATTTGAAAAATATGAAGTTTGATAATTTCTTAATCCACATAGAGTTGACAGAAAATCAACAATTAGAAAGTTCAAACTAGGACTGAAAACGAAAGAAACTTAAAGACAATAGCGCTGACCTTTCCATACAAGTTGATCAGCATTGTGTAAGTGTCGGTAGATGGTTGGCAGCAATCTCTCTTCATCCTCTGGAAGATCTCCACCGCTTTTTGGGGGTTTCCTCTTTTGATTAACCCCTCAATATAAGCATCATACACAACAGTACCTGAATAATATCGACATTTGATTATCAATTTACAGTCTCTGATTTATTTAATTTGAGTAATTTTATAACATGTTTCCTTGCAAAGGAAGTATCATCAATTATATCCATTTGATTTAACAGTTAGGATTTCAATTTCAAATTGCTATTAAGTCAAAGGTATAAAGTTCAGTCTTTATAAGCTTACTTGGAAAAAGGCCTATCCCAGAAAATGCCATTCAACTTATTGTTTTTACTTCTAAGGACAGAGGTTGGAAAATGCAGTCGGTATAAATAGTACTAATGGAAGAAACTAATTTCAGAGGTTAGGTTCCCTTTTCTCTCTCTATGCATGCATGCTCAAACACGCATGCCGAACCGGCATACACCGACATACCTTGTTGTAGTAATGGTCTTGTCACCTGTGTCTACTGGAAAATAACAGCTAAGACACGAGTCATAGAAAACAAAAGGACTGATAGCAAACAGAAAACATCAAATATTAGGTTATGTAGCCATTTTTTGACCCTTTCTTAGCAGCTTAAATAAAACCTCTATGATTTTTTTCAAAAGACAATAACATATTGTTTCATGATAGTGCTCTGTGTTTATGTGATCGTGTCCATTTTTGTTTTTTACAGGGATAATGTAGCTGCTTTTGCTTTTGGACATAATGTTTCCATTTATTATATGTTTTCGTTTCTTTCAAGAAAAATGAAAACCAATAAAAGAATAAATAAGCATGGAGCAAATACATTAGTTAAAAAAAAAAAAAAAAAAACACACACACACACACACAGATGAATATTGGATGGATGCTCATGAAGATTTTACCGAGAAAGAACGGAAAAACTTTATTATTTATTTATTTTGATGAAGTAATGTTAGATAGAACATCTCTCTCAGTATATGCAGATAAAAGTTGGAAAGAAAAGAAAAAGAAATCATACTTGGAGAAACACCATTTTTCCGCATTTCACTGACGATAGCTTCGGCTTTCCCTAGCGATCCAGACTTGCAGTAGGCCTTTATAAGAAGGGCATAAGTATCTTCTGTCGGGATGCAACGGGCATCAAGAAGTTCCAAATATGTAGATTCCGCCTCCTTATACAGTGATTTCTGCCCATACGCTTCTATAAGTAAATTGTAGCAGATGACATCTGGCTTGTAGGAGCTCTTGTACAGTATCCACTCAAATACCTGGAAAGCTGATCTTAGTGTCAAACCAATATCAATTGAAAAGTACATTATGAATATTTAACTGGTAGCAATAAATAATTGCAGTCATGATTATGCAGATATTGAATTGCATTATTTTCTCTGCAGAGAGATTTTCCACACAAACCATTTTCCAAATTGAGAATCTCATTACAATTACTTAATAAACCATGGATTTGATTACAGTCCCTGCACTCATACTAAGCAACTTTACTTAATAAACCATGCCGTGCAATCTGTCATATTCAACGCTTCATGTGGCTCAAACTTACACGTGTGCTGGTGTTTGTATAACAAAGGTTCACATTTTAGAGGATCAATGAAGTGGACTCATGCAAATCGGTTTTGTTGAACTCATTCATAGGATAACGGGTTTGACCAGATCGCAAGCTTTGCTGTTCTTGATCAACGCATATTGGTGTGCATACAACATGGGCATGTGAAGACAGAAATAACATAACAATATCTTACTTGAAGAAACCATGATTAGCAATAGCCAATAGAAATATCATTTTGGATTACTTGAACAGCGCCTGATAAACAATATTACTAGTATGTTGAGCTGAGAATAACTGCCTAAACTGATGGTCTTAGCATTAGGGGGTATTGGCAACTTATATTAAGAATAAGACCCTATAAAATTCGAACTTGGAACTGTTTTCCCAAAAAAAATAAAAATAAAAATAAAAGAATTTTGACGATATATCGAGCTACATTAGTTTTCTTCCTCTCAAAATTTGAGAAATTGCAAACCAACATATTGCCGAAGTAATCCAACAAACCTTCCCTGAAATGTATTTTAGGGAAATGAAAGTTTAAAGAGAAGGAACTTGCTTCTCACCAACATTATTTGATCCCACTGTTTATTGAGACGAAGTTGAACAGCTACATTGATGATGTCGTCCCATATTGAGTGTGAGGCCGGAAGAGTTGCAAGAACTTGCCAAATTCTATTTTGATCGACTTCTTCCTCTTGTACAAGGTCTAGAATCTTCTGTGCAGTGGGGCTCATTACAGGGAAAATACCATCAACAAAACCAGATCCATATTTCCACCCTCGTCCCCTTAAAGAACCACCTATTCAGAAACAATCAGAAGTTTCAAAGACAGAAAGAAAAACACGTACGATAAGCACTTAAGGACAAGTTCAAAGTTCAGTACATCGTTTCCTAGACAGTTTCTTGTTGTTAAAGCTTCTGAATTTGCCGCGTTTGTCAATATAAAAGCTATCCGGCTCGCTCTTCTTGACAGCTCCACCGTGGGAACTTTTAGCTTTCCATCTAGACTCACTTTTACAACTTCTCTGTTCTATAAGACACATGATTGATAGTGCATTAAACAATCAACATACATGAGTTTAGTCAAATAAAAAATAACATTTATTCACTAGTCACCTACAAACGCATGAGATTCACGTTTCAATAGAAGTCACAAATTCAGGACTTTTTGAGCATACAAATTTGAAGTGTGGTTGTTAATGTACCAAATGAAGAGGTGGTTTAGGAGCCTTTTGGAAACAAATAAAAACTATGCAAAGCAAATAACCAAAACAACCACATAATTAGATAAATCAAATTGACAATTCTTACCGTGCAGTATACAGAACTTCTTTTTTCCCGTGATTTTATTATAAATTGAAAAAAATAGCAGACTTTCAAATGGTAACCCCCCATACTCTGTCTAAAATAGGGAAAACTCAGAATGGGTCCTATGGTTTGTTTAGAATCCCTCACCAAAACCATTCCCTCGACTAATCCCTCTAACATAACATCCATAAATCCCGAAATTCACCCACTAATCATCCCATCACGACCACTTATTTCACTATTCTCTCCTATAAACAAGGCCTAAGCATGCCACAACAATCCCCTCATACTCCTGATGGGGTGTTCTTTGCAATTGAAATTTAAATTTTTATAAAAGAAAACACTGTAGCAGAAAGGTTGAATTGTGATTCAAATCTCGGGACTAAGTTTCTTCCTTTGATAATATATTTTGCCCATAATGGAGGCCACTAGAGTGCTAAGGGCCTGCTTTAACACCTTTTAAGTTTTTTCCTTATCCTTTTAAAACTTGAATTGCGATTCATTTCCCTTCCAGAAACCAAAGCCGAAAATGAAAGATAAAAATGCAACCAAACAGGCAATAATGGGTATATTACTATATTTAGCCTCAATTCAAAGATGTCCCAGAAGACAAATCTACAACAAAATAGCAAAGAGAGCGTTGAGTGACAGCACTCAAAAGTTAGATTGAATCAATATAGTCAATAACGTGTTTGAGCAGCTTCTGATAATAATCTAGCACGTGAAAGGACCCCATCATTTTTGAGGATTTCATGCAAAAAACTGAACAGAATTTTGGTAAAATATTTTCAGTAACCAATGGAGTTGAATGCTTATATAATACAGTTGGAATAATTATTACAGGATTCTAAGAGAAAAAAAAAAACGCAAGAAAAGTACATTGTGTTGGAAACCTCAGAAGTACGTGGTGATTTACCAGGGAATATGTGCCCAGTTGGAGATAAAGTCAGAAGAGCAGCCATTAGAGGTGAAGCCAAGCTCTTGAGAAACGTCAAGTTTATCGTGACACTTTGGAACTGGGTTTTGATCCTTCTTCACTCACATTATTACACCCTTCGAACAAACTCAAAAGATCTTTACACATTTTGTTTTCAGAACAGGAGGATATATGTTATATATACAACAGAGAAAAGACAGGAATGGAGAGAGATAAGGTAAATACGGTACAAAAACCATTTACACCGTCCGATTGAAATTACACGGTTCCAGATTGTGTCCCCATGTAAACAAAAAATAAACACACCCACATTGGATATCATTTCTTAAACCCCCCGAAAACAAAACCCCATTATATACATATAACCTTCGGAAGAAAAGGCTTTGAGAACAATCATCAAAAGCAAAGAAAAATGCCTCCCTCCTTGGCTTCTTCTCGGCTATTCTTCCCTCAGAAACCTCTCTTCCCTGTGAGCCAGCCAATATCTCTCACAAAATCTCTTTAGTATGTGTTTTTTTTTTTTTTTTTTTTGGTTTTCGACTGATATGGGTGAATAATCCTAATCCTGTTGCAGTTTCAAAGCCAAAGCCTAGCTGGGTTTTGGCGAAATCCGCAGAGAAGGAGGAATCTTGTGCTCAGAGCAGGCCCAAAAAAGATTTTATTTGGAATAGAATGCAGGGAAGCCTTACAAGCTGGGATTGATAAGCTAGCCGATGCTGTTTCTCTCACCTTAGGACCTAAAGGTGTCTCGCTTTTATCTTTTTCGTTTTTAAATTATCTGGGCACTCTTTTTTTTTTTCCTTCTTTTTTCAAATTTTAGTTTCTTTTATTCTATAGCCAGTAAGTATTTTTCTATTATGCTTGACTTTCTCCGTGTTGTTTAGAATGAATTACTTATTACCAGAAGATGAAGTTGAATGATTTGTTTTGCATCTGAGCAATAGTCAAATGTTAACTGATGCATTACATGAACTTTTAATGTATACATTTAGAAACTTGATTAGTCAGTATGTATTTCCCAATAGAGTTAAATGGTTTTGAGGACTGTGACTTCTTGAATCATTAAAAAAGCAAAGTGTTAATGCTATATTCATAAGTGAAAGGATAATCCTGTGAAGAAATTGTTTCTTGAATAAACCAGTTATATTAACAAAAAGAAGAAAGTCTCTTCTTTAATAATAGTTTTGTCCTTCTTTTGAATCACAATACTACTTGTCTCATGTTGTTTCTTCAAGTGGTATTACGCAGGGCGTAATGTTGTTCTCTCTGAGTCTGATACATTAAAAGTAATTAATGACGGCGTTACCATTGCTCGATCCATAGAGCTTCCAGATGCAATTGAGAATGCCGGAGCAATGCTAATCCAAGAGGTTATACATGGTTGCTACATAATTCTCTTCTCTGAGTTGGTTGGTCCATTTTGAGGCATTATGATCAGAGATATCTGATGTAAGTTTTTTCCCTGGCAGGTTGCGAGTAAAATGAATGATTTGGCAGGTGATGGAACCACCACTGCAATTATTATGACACGCGAACTTATCAAATGTGGGATGTTGGCTGTTGCTTTTGGTGCTAATCCAATTTCTTTGAAGAAAGGGATGGATAAGACTGTAAAAGAATTGGTCAAGGTCTTAAAGAAAAGAAGTTTTCCTGTGAAAGGGAGGGATGATGTTAAAGGTCATGATTTACTTATCCAAATGATTATGCTTGAAGCTGAATTTTTTTAAAAATGACGAGCATTGAAACCGAGTTCACGTTTTGCAGCTGTGGCATCAGTCTCTGCTGGAAATGATGAATTTGTTGGAAACTTATTAGCTGATGCTATAGAAAAGATTGGTCCTGATGGAGTGATCTCAATTGAGTCATCTTCGTCATTTGAAACCTCTGTGTTAGTCGAGGAAGGAATGAAGGTAATTTTGGACAATTCTATTTTCTATTTCTTGAATTTTTTATTTAAATGTTAAAAGCTGTATATTAGCATAACAAGTGAGATTATTTCGAGTCCTGCATAATCAAGGTTAACTGCAATCAAATTTATAATGTTCTTAAGTTTTGGGAACTTTTAGGGAAGAAATTGAAAATGTACTAAATCAGACAGCAAAAGAAAATATGTTTCTCGTGGAACTATTATTAGTAGCCGATGGATTAGCATGGGAAAGTATCTAAGGAGTTGATGATGGTTTAGATTTAATATCCATGCGGCACCCTTTACATGACACTAACATCCAGGGAATTTTTATAGTCTAGCTCCTTTTTGTTTTGTTTGTTTTGACACCTGAGCAAATTCTTCCTCTTTTTTATTTATTTTGTTGATCAATACAACTCGTTTCTTGTTTCAAAAAAAAAAAAAAAGGGTCGGATATAAATAAAATATATAAAATTAATTCTTAAGATATGGTTGTATATTGTCCAAGTACTGTTTGTGTTGCTTAATACCTTCTTATGCTCGTGGTTACATCGTTCTGTTTCATTCTGTACAGATTGACAAGGGTTACATGTCCTCTTACTTTATTACAAACCAGGAGAAATCCACTGTAGAGTTTGACAATGCTAAAGTCCTTGTAACTGATCAGAAGATATCTACTGTTAAAGAAATTGTGCCTCTACTAGAAAAGACTACCCAATTGAGTGTACCTTTGCTGATTATTGCGGAGGACATCTCAAGGCAAGTATTGGAAACACTTGTGGTAAACAAAAAGCAAGGTCTATTGAATGTTGCTGTAGTAAAATGTCCGGGATTTGGGGATGGAAAGAAAGCTCTTTTGCAAGATATTGCACTTATGACAGGTGAACGTATTTAATACCTTCATACTTTCATCTTGATGTTTAGCATTCTTGGTTTACCAACTAGTTTTTGAAGGTGTTTAACATTAATCATTTCATAGCATAGAGTCCTAATGGTTGTTGACTTAAAGCATAATTTGGCCCATCCATGTTCCAAGTTGCGTTGGAAGGGCCATATTTTTGCACACAAAGAAGAACCTCATTTTAATTGTCAAAGTAAGAACAACCTTGATGTTTGTTGTGATACTGGTCACACTAAATTTCTAATTATTTATTTCATAAGGTTATTCTATCATTTTGTAATTCTAAAGTGCAGTTTGTGTTTTGGTGCTTCTTATATAATATGCTATATGGGGTGTAGAAACAAGTCTTCCAATGTTGGATAGCTTTTCACGAAAGATTTGGTGTCCAAAATATTTTATCAATGGCTAAGGTTTATCACCTGATTCCCAAAAGAACTGGGAAAAGTAAAGTAAAATGATGAGCAATTCTCAGAGGCATACTTTTGACCGCAACTTCTTGATGGTACTATTTCTCATCCTATGTGTGAATGGAACAGAGCCAAAAGGCTGTAAAGGCTGTAGATGTAGAGCTCTTTCCCAGCTGGAAATCATTGAACATGAACGCTGCGGCACATAAACACTAGATTACTTTCTTGACACCTCTTCAGCCCTGTTTGATGTCAACTGGATTATCTTTGCTTGAAATCTTGATCTGCACCTTATTTTTGGCCTTGGCTCTATAAATAATAACTAATAATATATTAATAATAAAATTCCTTGTCGTTCTGAATTGCATTGTTATGCATTTTTTTTGTTGTTGTTGTAACCCATGTCCGATCCATTTATCGCAATATATTAACATCGCTATCTACCAGGTGCTGATTTTCTTTCTGGAGATTTCGGGTTGACCCTTGAAGGTGCTACTTCGGATCAACTCGGTATTGCACGGAAAGTGACTATCACTGGTAATTCAACAACCATAGTTGCTGACCCTTCTACTAAAGCTGAAATTCAGGCAAGGATATTGCAGATTAAGAAGGATCTTGCAGAGACAGATAATGCATACTTGTCAAGAAAGCTCTCTGAAAGAATCGCCAAACTTTGTGGTGGTGTGGCTGTTATTAAGGTATGATACATGTTAGTGATATAAACATTGTGCATGAAAGTCTTCACATTTTATTAATCTTATCTGTTTTGATGGTGTGCTGTACTGCTTAGTAGGCAACCCCAGAATTATCCTGAACCCTACAAAAGACTAGTCTTGAACTGAAAAATAGAACACCAAGATTATCCACGAGAAAATTCTAAGTATTAGTTCAAATAGGGAAAATTGACATACCAAACCTATCAACAGCTGAGATTAAAACATATTAAGACCTAGAAATGGAAACCATGTGCATTAGCATATACACTTAAAGTTATTAGAAAAAAAAAAAAGCAGGAAAGAAAAGAAGCAAGTAATCTCAACTGAAAATTTATAACTTTTACGAGAATAAATAAAAATGGCCGTTGGAATTCCATATTCATCTCCACTACAGAAATTAAACATATATTTAGCAGAGGAAAGTGGAAAGCTTCAGAAGAAAGTAATTCTCTTCGAACAACAGTATTTCAGCAAAGCATTTTATGTTAGTCTGTGGTAGATTTGCTTTTGTTTGACCTTTAAATATTTTATATCTCCTCTCTCTGTGTCCATCGAACTATGTATTTGACTCAGGTAGGAGCACACACTGAAACAGAACTCGAAGACCGAAAACTGAAAATTGAGGATGCAAAAAATGCCACATTTGCTGCTATGGATGAAGGAGTGGTGCCTGGTGGTGGTGCCACATATGTGCATCTTTCCGAGTTGGTTCCTTCCATTAAAACTTCTTTTGATGATCTAGATGAGCAGATTGGTGCTGACATCGTTGCAAAGGTGTGCTGTTTGTATCTTTATATTTGTTGGTGTTTGTGTATGTGTGCGCGTGTGCAACTGTGCATATCTCTGAGTTCATACATTGTTCTAGGTCAGAGGGTAAATTGGTGCGAAACTTCTGTTGGTTGAAGTTTCTGCAAAGAGTTAGGTCCATTGTAACTCGGAAAATTCCAATTCAGATATTTCAACGCTTATGTGTGCTTATTTATCTACTTACTTTAAATGAATGATTGTTATCTGCATAGGTCATAGGTTTTTTCAGTCATTAAGCTTGTGCGATTATGAACGGGAGCTCTAAGTTGGAAGAAAGCTAATCTACATAGTTGTATTGATGCACTTTTCCCTTTTTCTTATATCCCTTTACCTTATTATTTTCGTGTTTTCTGAGCATCCTATTTTCGAAAGAGTCCTCATTTTTCTTTTTATTTTCAAAGTTTGGGAGAAAAAGTGCAAGAGTTTGTGTGAAAATTTAATGTTCAACCTCCAATCTGGAAAATGATACCTTTTTTCAACCTCCAATCTGGAAAATGATACCCTTTTTCTACTATATTCAACTATCTTCAAACTTTGGTTTGCAAATATTATTGGAATTGTTTTCTTTATCCCTTGCTTTTGAAAGCTTGCAAATCAAAATGTGAGTAACATTTGTCACCGGTTGGATAACAGGCTCTCCTAGCACCTGCAAAATCGATTGCAACTAATGCAGGAGTTGATGGAGAAGTTGTTGTCGAGAAGATTCGGACTTCTGATTGGAGAATGGGATACAATGCAATGACGGGCAGGTATGAAGATCTTCCGAATGCCGGCGTCCTAGATCCTTGTAGGGTTTCAAGGTGTGCCCTTGAAAATGCAGTCTCCATTGCCGGGTTAGTTCTAACAACACAAGCTGTGTTGGTGGAGAAAACAAGGAAAAAAGAGCCGCGTGTCCCTCTCGTTCCAGGAATAATGTCATAACATATTGCTTAGAATTCCAAAGAGCCCTTGAAAATTATGAAGAAGCCATCGGGAGATTTCCATTAGTTTGCTATTATTGGCGGGAGTGCTTGTGAATTCGCTTCTAACATTTGAAGATGTGGGGAAGAAAAATGTGTTGCCTCTGAATATTGGAATATGAAAAGCATGTATTTTCCATAGAGGTTGTAGAGCTAAAAGATTCGGCGATGCTCACTCACTTCACCGTTGTAAAAATGATTCCAACTCATCCATAATTCTTTAACTTTTTTTTTTTCCCTTCTTTTTACTAGGCTAGTTCATATCAGCTGTTAAACTTATTATTATTATTTTGGAACAAGGGATCTATGCAGCGAAATCCCAAGCTTTCTTCTGATTCTGTTCTACTATAGTTTTGAGTTATTATAGTCAAGATCATATTCAGTGTTTGTTGTCTCTTTCATTTGGGGAACAAATTTTGACATGGAATTCATGCTGGTAATGTTGAATAAACGAGGCTGCATTGCACCAAAAAAAAAAAAAAAAAAAAAAAGTTTTGAAAAAATGGAGAAATTACTCTTGAGAGCATAAGTTTGGACTTTTATCCTTATTCTTATTAAATATCCTTTTATTAGTGTAATTATTTGACTAAAAAAGTTATGAATCAAGAGTAAAGGGTAAAAATTTTGATCTATGCACTTTCAAGAGGTATTTATTAGGATTACTCAAAGATTTTAGGTTCACGTTTCTTTATTCTTGTCTCCTCTTATGTTATGGTCATTTAATAATTTCTTGTACCACGTCAATTTAAGTGTTTTAACTGATATGATATTTTAATTATGTGACATGTTATTCTAATAGACATATCATTTTAATTAACATGAAATAATATTATTGAGTGAACAATAAAGAGACATGAAATATAGGACATCGGAGTCGGATCCAGCAAAATTTGGAACTTTGGAACTATCCTCTCTGTTGCAAAAGTAAATAAATTGGTCTTCAAAATTGGCCCTTACATGTGCGCTGCTCAAATTGAAACAGGGTGTGGAGTACTGAAGTTGAGCTTCCATTTCTTAGTGCGTTAATTTTGAGCACCTCAGTTCTTTTTTTTTTTTTTTTTTCCGAGCACCTCAGTTTTTTCATTGCTGCCATTCCCTCAGTTTTTTTTTTTTTTTTTTTTTCCGAGCACCTCAGTTTTTTCATTGCTGCCATTAAGGGTCCGTTTATTTGATATATTCAAACTCAAATCATTAATTCTACTACAGTATTTTTCTCTCATAAAAAAATTTAAATTTCATACGTCGAGTCAAGAATCATAATTTAAATAACAAGTCCTAAATTATTTTAGCTCCGGTGTGGAAATTTAGCAGCTCTCATTCCCAAGTCCTTTGCGAAGCAAGGCAGTAGAAACGAACAATAGACATGTTCTTTATTAGTTGTGGTGCTCATCTCTAGTGATGTCCCAAGCCGTTTTCTTCTCAAAACGACAACATGGAATTTCAGAATCGTCATTTTCACGTGTTTATGTTCATCTGCCTTTTTATTATGATTATTATTGTAATCATTACATTGTTGCAAAAAGAGCCAGAAAAGCTTCATTTTCAGTCAGATTAATAGATGAATGTTGCAAGTAGCTTCCCTTAATATGGTCAAGCTCGTCTTACTGCCATAAAGCTAGGTCATTGATTCAAGAACGATCGGCTCGATTCCTCTAGGTCTTCACTTCTGAATTTTTTTCCCCTCATAAACGTTTGGTAGGATTCACGTTTTCTGTAATAAATACATGGAAAATATGGTCTCTAATCAATGTCAAGAAAACTCAACGGCACAGAACTTCAGTATGCTCCAACAAAGGTCTAAGCTTGCCAGATGCCAAAACATTATTTGAGCTCCAAATGAAAATTTAGGCTTCGGCCTGCGAGAAGAGAGCAGTATCATACGGTCATGCATAAGAGCAATGCGAAAACAAAACAATTCTTGAAGAGACCGGCAAATGCAATGTCTGCATAATATAATCTGTGCATTTTATTTTGGTTGAAATGAAAGAAAGACCTTTTATGTAACACTATTCTGTTCCTGAGCATGGACTGATACAAGATCAGCGAGAATAACATTGACATGATTAAAAGAATAATGAACGGCCGTTCATTGATTGAATATCAATTACAAAGGCAGAGGACAAGGAGTCCTCAAAAGAAAGCGGAAAGAAAAAACAAAAGAAAAACAAAAATAACAAGAAACAGAGCATAAACTAAGCCCAAGAACCACTAGGATAACATCTTTCCAATTATATTGACACCCCCAAAAATTATAAAGGCAGCCCAGTTTTAATAATGTCAAAAGACAAGGCCATTTACTCCTCTTTTACGTGAAACTTGAAAAAAAAAATAAATAAATAGTGGACTAACACCACCACCCTGTGCGCACCCCTACACCACCAATAACCGCCAATTTGCCATTGATTTCCTTTCCTCTTTCTCTATACGTGTACTTTTATTATGATACTTCTCATTTTTAGTTAAAGCACCCAAAAGAGATTGAATACAGAAACGGATGGAGGACGAAGTAAACATAAGAAGATACATGGAGAAAAAATAAAACAGAAAAAGATAAATGGAGTTCTGAAGACACAATTTTAGAGTATGAGAAGGGTTAAGAGAGGGACAATAAAAGATGATGAGAGAGAGAGAGAGAGGGATGAGAGACAAACTTCCTGTTGAAATTGAAAATTTGATGAAGAAAGCAAGAGGGAGCCAAGGGAGGGCCAGAGGGGTGTGTAAAAAGGTAATTTTGTTATTTTTTAGAGTTTCATTAAGCTGTCCATATGGGGTGCCTTAATGAATCTAGGGGGAAGCTAATATATTTTCAAACAAATCTTTTTTTTTTTTTTTTTTGAAAAGAAACGAGAACTTTATTGAGCCAGAAAGGAAAAAGCAGAGGAAGATACAATCCCTTACAAATCTTTATCTGTTGAAGCCCATAAAGAAGAAGAAAACTACCACTTAAAGGTCCATGTTTGGCTTAATGAATTTCCAATCCCTTTCATAGTTTGTGTGGTATTAGAAACATCACAGCAATTATCTAAGTCTTGGATTCCGTAGGTCTGTCTCCAAACCATCTCAATGAGTTGCAGGGTGAAAACTCATACCTTAAACTCTGCATTCTAGGACAAAGCTTACCACAATGCTAAAAGGCTAAAAGGAAACAACTATCCTCCATAAAAATGCAATTTCATTTCCTTCAATACAAAAGACCTCTCACCTGTAACCCGCCTTGTTAGAGGTAAAACAAGAAAACATTTTGTTTGTCCAATGTGACAGTAAAAAAACAATGTTGTTTATGTTTCTTCATTAGTCCAGTGATTTGAAATTTCAAATAGCATCTAATGATACTAGTACAATTCTAAAACCTTGTCTAATGACTAATAAACCATAATATACAATCAACAGAATTACATAACTTCATAAAGGGAAAATCCAAAACAAACTCCCAGACAATGAACTTCTAATTCCACCTCAACCTTATGGACACTAGATTACCAAGTGCGCGTTTAACAAGAAGGTTAATACATGCGATGTGGCTTACAAGAAGAGTCCAGACATGGGTATATCTCAATCCTGGTGTCATGTGTGATGTGCAAAGAAGAGAGAGTCCATTTACTTCTACATCGTAAGCTAGGGCGTCAGAGTTTATGGCTACGCTTACTCAGGGTGGCAGGGTTCTAATGGGCGGGTTTTCCTAATAGTGTGGCTCCCTGTTGGTGGAAAGGACATATGGTTTTGGATCTAACAGAAGAACAAGGATGATTTAAAAGGATATCATTCTTCTTTGATTATTTTGAGTTGGAAACATGAGATGAGTTGTTAGTGTTGCCGTTTTGTTCATTTTATTTTGAATACTCATTCTCCTCTTCGTACTGTACTGATTTTCAGTTTCAATATATTCAGCTTCTTAAAAAAAAATAATAATAATAAAAAAGAACCCCACAAACTTTTTGTCTACCCTTTCTCAACCTGCATCAAACTTAATTTATTTAGTTTTTTTTTTGCTGCAAAAACTTATCTCTAGAACTATAATCCACAGTATTTCAGTTTCTTTTAGAAATGATTCTAATTTAATTAATAATTATCCTAAAATTTTAATATGAACCCGCACGTCTCAAAGTCCAGCAGTTTCTCTCTCTATTCCTCATTCTTTACTATGAATTGCATTAGGTTTGTGTGTGTGTGTGTATTTATATATACAGGTCAGTACACATCAGTTGTGCAATTACTTCTTTTATTCTAAGTTCATGGGATGATGAAGGTAACAAAAATCGAGAAATGTCTGAACATGGTAGAACTTACAGAACCAGAAATTGTAAAAAACGAACTCGATCAAAGGAATCCAAAACCATGTCAATAGAGAGAGAGAGAGAGAGAGAGATACCCCGGGAGAAGAATTTGAATTCTGATGAGGAACAGATTCCAGGTTCAGGACTCGTTGCTCCAGAGCATCAAACTTGTGCTTCATCTGCGCAAAATACAGGACAAGCGTAAAAGACCACCCATTTCGATTTTTTCTGAAAAAGGAAAAAAAAATGAAAGCAGTGGGTTACGTCGGTGGAAAGGGCGTATCGATCCGCAAGAAGATCTCGCCAGACGAACTGAGAAATCGTGGCGGCGGAGACCGAAAACCCAATAGTGAACCATAGCAACCGAGTCCTCAACATCTCTAACTCTTTGCTGGAAGTGACCAACGCAAAAGGGAAGAGAACGCGAAAATGTCCCTCTATTAGACCATCTCCAACGCAAAAAGTTAAATGCGCAAAAAGTTAAATGCCAACTCTCTCTCTCTCTCTCTCTCTCTCTCTCTCTCTCTCTCTCTCTCTCTCTATATATATATATATATATATATCTCTCTCTCTCTCTCTCTCTCTCTATATATATATATATTTATATTTATATATATATCTAAATGGACACTGCATTCCAAGTCAAAAAGATACGCTGATTCAAATTTTTAATTCGAGTTGAGATGTGACATTTTTTTAGAGTTTTTATTGTAACAAAAAAAGTTAGATGTGACATTTTTTGAGAGCTTTTTACTGTAAAAATCTAAAATTGAAAACTCGAATCGGTGAAATGAATGAGGCTTAAAAACCACGACCGATTTAGCGACTCAATCCCAATTATAGGCCGGAACTACTAAAAAATTTGATTGAAACGCTCTATAAGGTAATACTTGTACCGAGTTTTAAAGAAAGAAAATCGAAGAGGTACACAACTAATTGAGTATACAAATGGCTCTTTCAAACACACCACTATAATAAGTAGATAACTCCGATCGATTGAGATCGAGAGACTAAAAGCACTGGGGCCTACCACAACACCGTGAAGAAAAACTTGCGGACTAAACCTAAAAACAACATTGGAAGGTGGGGGAACCACCTCTGGAATTAAACGACACAACAGAAACACACTAAAACTAAATGGCAGAAACATCAACGGCTTTATTTGACAACCACACGAAACAAGACAAAAGGACAAAGACCAAGTGACACTCGCCGAATCTCCAATGATAAGCCAACCACTGTCGTTGATGAGCAAATGAGTCTCAATGCTGCGAGCAAGCCAAAGAAATGCCGAAAAAAGGCCAAGCCACTGCTGTCACCCTGCGCTGCCAACTAACTAAAATGTTTCACCCATTGAGCCGCTACCCCACCAGGGCTGAAACCCTATAACGCGGCAATACCAAGGCACCCGCACGTCCCTAGCCCGCAGCAACAAGCACGACCTCTCTACCTCCACCTCCATCTCCAGCCATTGCATCACACCACAGGGGGCATAACTTTGCCGGCGTACGGACGTGCCCATAATGGGAAGCCAAGCACACACCAAAAAAGCCATCTCCACCACCCTTTCCTCCCACCTAAACAACAGCCTTGTTGACTCCCTCACTGTGAGGATCCAAGCCGCACCACCCAAACCTCTTTTCATAGGGCCGGCAGTCCAGAGTCAAGCCCAAGGGCATCGCCGAACTTTGGCCCTTTGAAACTCATTGCAAAAGCGGCACAAAGAAAGCAAGAGGGAGAGAAGAAGAAACCCTACTGAGTTGTTTACAGTTCTCCCTCAATGCCAATTTTATATTTGACACGATAGCACATGTTAATTTTTATTTGTACTCAAACGCATAATACTATTTAAAATATTAAAAATTTCTTTTCTTATCATCATTAAGAGTCCGTTTGTTTCATATATTCAAACTCAAATTATTGATCTGCTACAGTGTTTTATCCCATAAAATAATTAAATGTTAAACGTTAGAATCAATAATCATGATGTGAGTATACCTTTTAAACGAGCCCTAAATTTTAAAAAGTGTAAAAATAAACATCTAATTTTAAAGTAATTTAAAAGGCAAAAGGTGTAAGATTTAGGGCATGTTTATTTGGCCGTATTAGAGTAATGTACTGTATGACAATACAATAATACCATGTTTAGTGTAATCATCGTATTGAATAAGCTAATGCAGATAGTAAACTAATATGATCTATATCGTATTATTGAATATGACTCATTTTTAGTGTATTGTATTGTATTACTTTGTTGCGAGTCCACGATTCATGTTGAGGTTGGGCACGACTCGGGGTCGGGGTTGGACCGACATAGAGTCAATACTAGATCTTATGATTGTTTAAAAATTGAGGGGCACAATGCAAATTTTTTTTTTTTTTAAATTACATCTTGGCCCTTTAAATTTTACAAAATTACATTCTGATCCTAAAATTTTTATAAAAATACATTTTGACCTTAAAACTTTTGAAAAAAGTATGTTTTGACCCTAAATTTTTTAAAAAAATTACATTTTGACCTTAAAATTTTTAAATTTTACATTTTAGTCCCGTGTACAATACATTACACTAAACACCGATTGTATTATGACAATACAACATAACAGAAGACAATAAAATACACCCTATATAATATAATACAATACAAACTACCAAACAAATGAAAGTAACCATATCAACTAATAGGAATCAAATGTCACATTTGTTATATGTTATACGGTGTCAGTCGTTAGAAAAGAATCTAGTAGATGCCATAGAGAAATTTAATAGATTATTTTTTCAAAAAAAAAAAAAACTTAATAACCCGCTAGAAAGAGGAATCTGGTAGATGTTAGAAAGCAATTTAGTATATTATCTTTTATTTTCAACAAAAATAATTACTAACCATCTACGGTTGACAATGCCGGCCGCCAGAGAAGAATCTGATAAATATAAGAGAAGAATTTAATATATTATTTTTTATATTCTATCAGATTATCCAAACGCTGCCGACTGTTAGAGAGAAAGAGAACAATTTGGTAGATTATTTTTCATACGAGTAACATGATAATTATCATGGATATATTAGCTAATAGGCTAATAGTGATACTACATTTTATTTTATATAACGTTTATTAATATTGAATAAATTTCTATCCTTATTATTTATTTACAGCATGAAGCAATACAGGGAACAATTCGAGCACGTGATTCGGACTATATTTCTCAAAAAATTGAACAAGGCAATATATACAATATTAGTAACTTTTATGTTACTGAAAATAAACCAACATACAAAGTCGTTCCACACATTGCTATGATCCAATTTGCACGAGCAACATCTTTTATTCCAATAATGGAAGACGCACCATATATCCCATTTCACAAATTCTACTTCATAGAATTCGACCAGCTATATCAAAGAATAAATAATACTGAGATATTAACAGGTAATATATGTTACTTAATTTGCTTTATTATTACTATAGATATTTCTTGAATATTTATTTACAAAATTTCCCTGTTTATATATATTATTAGATGTTATTGGAGTATTAACAAGTGTCCAAGCACTCGAACATACACATGTCAGCACCAGACCAACAACACGGCGATCCATAATGATACAAAACACCAGGTACAATAAATTTATACTTTTTTCCCTCACATTTGCTATTCATTACAACTACTTAACGTGAATACAATATTTTTTCACTTTTATGATTCAATTTTATTAATCATTTTTATGAACTGCATTTTTTCAACAGAAATGAACAACTACAGGTAAGTCTATGGGGACATAAAGCCGAGCAATTTGATGAGAATGTACTTAAAACATTAAAGTCACCACTTGTCGCAGTTTTCTCAACAATGTTGACAAAGCAATATTTAGGTATTTTTAACATTACTTTATTATAACATTTCTTTATACATATATAAAAAATATATCATACATTTATTATTTACTCTATTATATTTCTAAGTAACTCATATGTTTCAAGTACATCAGCAACAATTTTCTATATTGACCCAGACATCCCAGAAATAACAACATTAAAGACAAGGTAAACACACATATATATATATAATATATTCTAATAAATTTATTATATTATATAATCATAAATTTTATTTATATTTTCCTTAACTTATTCGTATTTTTATACATACAGATTTTCCTATCAAAATCAACAAATTGAATTCCTACCACCATCAAAAACACCTATCCAAACAATTGAAGAACAAATATCAGCAAATAGAAGAACAATAAACGAACTCAAAACATTGGATGCACAAAATAATCTGGTTAGTACTATTAACTTTCCTATTATTTTTTTACTACACTTAGTAAAAAATTTAAAACCACAATATTCTATCTTTTATGTAGGGTGGAAAATTCACTGTAAGAGTGACCATAGTAAACTTTTCAACATCTCGAGGATGGTTCTACAATTCTTGCCCCATATGTTATCGACAACTAAAACAAGCAAGAATAGGTTGGTGGTGCGACAGTCATGGCCACATAAAATCAACACCATCTCCATGGTAATTATATTTATTACCATGCCATTTTTATTTATTATATATCTTTATTTACTTTAACAAAATTTTAATAACATTTAAAAAATATTTATATATATGTTACAGGTACAGATTAACAATCCAAATTGAAGATCATATTGGAAACATGGAAGTTATCACTTTTGGCAAAACCGCTCAGGCATTAATAAAAAAACTGTGTTTTGCACTAACAATTGACGAAGGCTTTACCGATCCATTTATAATACCACCAGCTATCGATCAGATCCGAGGACAATCAAAAATCTTCCAAGTCTTCTTTCAACAACGAGGCACCCAAATGAGCACATTAATTTCCAAAATGTTTGAAGACATCCATGTTCTATCATCGCCACCAAAACAGTTAACTGGAGGAACAGAAGATCCACAAATGTAAATAATGTTTTTTAAATTTTTTATCAACTATACATAAATAATATTTATATTATATTGATCACAATTTTAAAAATCTTCTCATTTTTCAGCCCACAACTAATACCATCATCACAACTATCAACACCAACCACATTTGATCCACACACTCCAACACCAAAAAAACCTGGTACAAGGTAAGCCACATTCAACGCACCAAATATTATCAATTAATTTAAAAACATATCTACCAATTATTCCCTTTTTTCAGCCCTGAATCAAGAACAACAAGACAATCTGCAAAACGTCTAAAAACAAGGTAAAATAAATATTTTTATAATATTTATTTCATACTATATAATTTAACCATCTTTATTTCTCTTAACACTTATATTTACAACTAATTTTCTCATTTTTATATTTATAGCTGAAAGAAATGAAATGATCAAGACCCGCAATAGCGTTTTTTTTATTCTATACAATCTGTATATATATAAATATTATAAATAATAGTAATATATAAGTCTGTGTAAAT